GATTCTCACTTAGAATTGAACATAAGTGAGAATCTAAGTTTAATTCTAAGTTTAATTCTAAGTGCACTTGATTGACCAACTATGTAAATTTGTTACCGTCACAATCTTCAGCAATGTGTAAATTGGATGCTCACCATTGCTGGACTCCTATTGGACAATCTCACTGTCAGTCATAAGCAGTGTCACAGACTACATTTTATGTTTTAACATTTATTATTGATTTGCTAAACAGACATCATATTCAGTGGTTCATAATGACTTAGCAGTAGTTGATGATAATGACCAAATGAGTTCCCATCAACCATCCCTACCAGGGTGTTATAGTATGGTATGACTTGACACTTGTAGAACAGTGAACAGTGCATTCTATATGATTGACAAAGGGAACAGATATATAATACTGAGTGAGTATTTGAATGTGTTGGGGGAAGGGAAAGAAGGAGGTCCGACGGATGAGAGGGAGGTGGAGGCAGTGAGGATGGAGGAAATTAATCAGTGGTATCCGCTCCATGGGAGTTGAGCTAAGAGCCAACCTCAGCATTTTAGTCAGCTTATACGAGAAGCCATTATTGTGGCTGCGACCAGAATTATGGGCATCTCCAAAATCAGTCCTTTGTCAGAAGAAGTATAATCCAAACGTCCACTGTCCCTACATATATAGACGTAATCTGTCAGGATGAGGTTGTGTAATGGTTTGATGAGATGTCTGTTTGCTTTGATTACATTTTTAAATACAGATGCTTTAATTTTACTTTGGAACTGTTATTCTTTGCAATAACAATTTGCAATCATTTTTCTTCCAATGGACTGATAGTGTTTTTTAGGGCAGAGGACAAAAGATTCAAATAGAAGTCACGGAGGTGCATTGTTAAAAAAAAAAATGTGGGAGAGAGGCAAGGGTTAACCAGCTTAGATACTTGACTTTTTATGATGCGGAATGGAAAAAACACCAAAGCCATTCTCTCTAAACATGTCTTAAATATAGCAAAGAGTTAAGAGAGCTAAATGTTAATTCTAATAAAAACAAACTGACAGTTAGCAAAGGAGCTAACCTTTCATTGCCCAAGAATTACTGCTAGCATAAAAGCTAAAATTAGCTAAAGTTGCTTGTGACCATCTCTAAGGCAATACTACCTAAAATTAGTTCACTTTGATTTGTCTATTGACTTTGTATAAAAAAGATGTTTGCATATTATTTTGGAATAGAACATAAGAACATATGTTTTAAAAAGGAAAAATAAATAGTCACATAAAGTACCAGGCACTGTGATGTCACACCCTAACGTGGGATTTGGGGACAAGGTGGAATCGGAACTCCAGGATATAGAGATATACAATTATTAAAATGGTTTGACGTTCCACTGTCTCTTGCTAATGCTGAATCAGCAGGTTACTGTTACCACACCATCACAGTACTTCCAGCCACTTAGTGTTAGTGTTTTACACCCTTTGAGTTGCTGTGCTTCTCAGCCTTATTGAGCTGTACTTGTGTTTCAAAGGCAGCCAGGCCTATTGAGACACGAGCACTGTCAGATAGAAACAAATGCCGCTCGCACACTCAAGTACACACCACCGAATCTGCATATAATTATGCTTTTGATCGAATGCCAAGGTTTCGCAGAGAAAGACATTGGAGTCAAATGGATTGAACATGTATGTAACACCTGTAGGATTTGTGTGTGTGTGTGTGTGTGTGCACGTGCGCCAGCCTGTTGGAAAGCAGCTGTGAAATCTGCACCTGTTTAATTGAATTAGCCTTGTAAATGTATTCACACTGGCTGCCAAAAAAGCTCGGCATTAACGAGCTCGTTAGACCAATTAGTTAATTAATTGTCTGTATAGCAGCAGTTTCCCAAGAGCTGTGTCTTCATTATCTGATGGCTGCCGTCTGTTGGATCACTGACTGAGAGCCGATAATGCACCGCCGCGGCGTGCTTTGACTCTGTGTGTGAGCTTCTATTCAAATGTCACGTATTATTGCATATTCTCTGAGTATATGGTACAGTATAGAGTCATCTTTTTGAGTCTTCAAACCTGCAGAGACAGTGACAGGTCCATGTATAGGTGCTGGTCTATATGTATATTTCTGACTTTGTGGGGCAGGCTCAGATTATGGTTGCCTATATCAGTGTGCATATTGCAGTGAAAAGGTTATGTGGGGGCTGTGGCTCCCATAGGTAAAGACAGAGCAGTCCTCCAAGCCACTTTCTAATCTCTCTTTTATTAGAAGTTAATATCTCGCCTGCTCTTTCTCACTCTCCACTCTCCCACCTGCGTAGAAATGGCCCTGCTCCATCTTTTTAATTCAATTATATTAGCCATCCTCGCTCTCTTTCTCTCTCTCCCCTTGTGCCCATAACTCTGCAACTCACATCTCTCCTTCACACCCAGTCTCCCTTCTCCTCGTGTCCCCTCCTTCCTTTGTCCTCAAATGTTCCACTTCTGTTCATAATCCTGAAAAAGGGGGATAGACTTTGGCCAATCAAGGATTTGAGCAAGCCGCTCTGCCTTTCTCTTCTCTCCCTCGATGAAAAAATGATGCTGGTTAGGAGAGGAGAAATGGGTGAAGATGAGGGATGGAGCAAGAGTAGGAGGAGAGGGAGGAGGAGGCAGGAGTTGAGGAAGACCCCAGGGGTGAAACTTTGATTGCTAAAGTAATGAGACTTGATCAGATTGAGGTTTCTCTCTCAATAGGAGCTTTACTGATATGACAGTCCACGGCTTAAACACTCGTTTGGAAGAAAAAAAAATCACATATCAGATATTCTTTATTTCTGGACTTCCAGCTAACGCCCTACTGGAGAATTAAGACTTCACTCAGACCACATGGGCACTTTAATCATCTCTGGTGGCAGCAGATGTGTGAAAAAATCACTTTATTGCATTAATTATGTCCAGGTGATATTGGTAATTTTAAAAATCATTGTATAAGGAAGTAGGGGGTAATGACTGAACTCTGACTCTACTAGTTAGTGGAAATTAAAAACAGCAATTAATGAGTCTAAAAGTTTTGAATTGAAAATTCAACGACGTGTGTTTCAGGATAAATATGTGGTTTTAATGCTGACAATTCTAGTTACATCCTATTTTAAAATATAATCTAAGAATGGCAGGAACCCTGCTGAGTCAGCCATTAGATCATAAATAGCTGAAGCTTATTTAAATATAAGACCTAAACATTATTGCCCCCTGCTCTTAACACAAACCTCACACAGATCAGCAGCACAGCTCACATAAAAACCTGTCTCTTAATTCAATATATTGAGCTGTACCTCAACAATGCACTTAGCTGAAACACTGAATTTCACCCGTTACTGTCTGAGTGTTTTTTTTTTTTTTGTGTTATGAGACATATTTAATTTCCCTGCAGTCACACTCATTTCAGAAGAATAACCTGATAAAAGAATAATTTTAATTTAATTTCTGCAACACGAGTGGCTCCCCGCTTGCTTGCGATCGTTACCATCCATTAGCCGTCCCGCAGATGACTTAACAGCGTGAAATGCCATCTGTGGCTCACTGTTACAATTCCGCTCTGGATATACAGTTTATTTAGTATGAGGCAGAGCCGGTCGGTGTCAGAGCTCAGACCTGCTGTGTAACTAAGACACAAGTTCAGAATGACAAGTCTGCTGTTATGGAGCCTGAGAGATGTCTGCACTTTATTTCCACTGTATATTTGTATCACTGTATATTTTCTCGTCTCTCAAATCATGCAGTCTGACAAGTGTGTGTGCAGAAAAGTGTGTGTACACCCACTCCCCGTGTAAACATCAGTGTGTGTCGTGGGTGTGTTGATTGACCACGGAGGCTACTCACGTATCTAACGTGGGGCTCATTGTAAGAAAGACTAATAAATAGAGAGTGTATGATTTGGCAAGGGGGTTTCAAACTGCAAGCCCACCCACTCAAAACAGTGTTGGTGTGAGGGGCTTTTTGTCTCTTCAGAAAAATAAAACATTCTTAATTGATTTTTAAGCAGGATTTTATGTTTGGTAACTGACCATTATTGTTTAATTGATTTCTGCTGGGTATAAGGGTGGTTATCGTTTCTGTGTAAATCCTGAGGCTAATGATTTGATACTACAGCCGAATTGACCACAAACAAAATGTTAGAAACTACTACTGCACCTAGAAAATAAACAGGATCAGGGTTTTTTTTTTTTAATTGCCTCCCACTGCCAGCTGTAACTGCTCCACCACCTCGACCCTGCTGTAAAAATGCCTGCTCCTGACTTAACATTTATGGTGGAGATTGCCTCTGCTGACTCTGAGCCAGAACAGACAGCATAACACAGACGCCTTTTGCAAAGAAAAGGTTGTCCATTTTCTCGGTAGCTCAGATGCCAAGCAATTTGCTTTGTCAAACATAAAGCACGGCAGACTCCTGGCCTTAGGAATATATGATTTGCTGGTGTCGTTCAGATGTTCTGAAAATATCATAGGCCTTAAAATAAAACCCATCACCTTTCTGGGTGGTGAATATTGGCTTCTGCTCATGTTTATAACAACAGAGCTGGGAGCTAGGTACGCACTGCACTTTGTTCTGAAAAGAAAAGAAAAGTCGGACACACGAACAAACTGATTTTTGGACGATGACTGAAAGACGATGACTGAGGATCAAACAGTCGTCTGATGAGTAAAACTGACTAGAGCCAAGCAAACTCATCAAGGCTGTAGCTCAGGGGTGGGCAATTCATTTATATATATATATATACTATATATAATTTTTCTATATAACTCCCTTATTTGTCCCACAAAGGGGAAATTCACAGTGTGAGTCTTTGCAGCCGATACCGGCAGCTGCCACACAGGAGCGCCATTAAGTATGTGGTTCCTCCGGGGCTCGAACCCCAGAGATCAAGGCTTTTGTGTGTGTGTGTTTTTATATAAATACCTATATTTATATGTGGGTATGTTTTATACATATGTGTAGTTATTATATGTAACTCCTGCATACAATAGAATACAAACTACTGTGTGATTGATTTGTGTTGCAGATGAAACAAAGACATGTAGATGTGATGCAGTTGAACCAGGATGTGATCAGTTTGCGAGCCACACAAGAAACACTGCAGAGAAGTTTGGTTATAAAAGAGAAACGTGCACAACAGCTGGTCCAGGCCAACGCACAGCTCAAAGAGATGCTGACCTCCCTGCAGAGCAAAGTAGGTAACACACACACACACACACACACACTCTCACAAGGGGGGGGCTCTACTTAAATAAGGAACAGAATCGGGCAACCTTCTCTATCAAATTCAGTCAGGTACATCAGGGAATTATCCTAGCTTTTTACTTCCTTCACAGTTAATGATCCACCTCTTCTTCTCCTCCTCCTCTGCCTTCCCTCTCTCCATATTTAATAACTCATCGCCTCCATCTTAGCTCCACAGAGGGTTGGCTCATTGTAAAAAAGAAAAAAAAAATCCCTCTTCATATGAATTGCACTTAACAAAGAAAGGAAGGTAGGGGAGGAGGAGGAGGAGGGGCTGGATTTGATTTTGTTTCATTCCTTCTCCTTTTTTTCTCTCAGATTATTTTCTCCAGATCTTTTTTTTTTTCTTCCTGTTTTTCCTCCTGTCCTCCTGTCCTCCTGTTTCCCTCTCATCCATCCTGTCCGGCCATGCCGTCACCCCGACGAGGACCAATGGTAATGAATGGGAACATTAAAGAGTCATACATGATGAATGGAATGGCCTTTAGGTTTCTCTCATAGTCCTTTCTCTCTCTTCTTTAATATTTGCTCTGTCTCATTTTTCCCCCTCTCTACCTCTATCTTACTGTATTTCTCCCTCTCCCTCCTTCATTTCCTCCTCTTCACCTCCCTCTAGGTATCATGGAGTGGTGCTGGGCTGTGGTTTGTTCAATGGCCTTTAGGTTTCTCTCATAGTCCATAGTCTCTTTCTCTCAGGCTTAAATTAACCCATTTACTGTGTCCTTGACCAAAGCGAGTCATTCCTCTGCTATGAGTGCGGCTGCTTGTCTGCCCCCTAAATGAAACACATTCAACATAAAAAAATAATTTCTTACTTGACTTGACTTGACTGAGAACAGTTGCTGCATCTATGCATTAAGTTCACAGGTGCTTATTTGATGTCAAACGTTTTAGGGATAATAATTGCTGTTTTCGGGCAGATGAAGTGTGAGTTATGTGTGTTTGAAAATGAGCGTTTCTGTTTGTACTGTGCATCAGTTCGCTGGTGTCATTGATGCAGCAGTCGAGTCAAACATCAAGATCTATTTTCCTCTTGAACCATGTTGTTTTTTCCCCTAGTATGATTCAAAACCAAATAAAGAAAGGGCCATGGCTCTCCAAGAGCCCTGCCCTAAGGTTTAGGAAGCACTGCTCTAAAGTGAGAGTCCTACATCTTTATGATGAGCAGTCCAGCAGTTTTATTGGTCCTGAGTCAAAGAATTAACTGTAGGGTTCCCCAACCTGGCACAAAGCCTTTATGATGTTCCCTTTCAATGCTATGGAGACAGAGTGGAGGCAAACATCCCTAAATTGCACTTTGATCTCCTTCTCCTCCAGGAACCCTTTCCTTTTTCTTTCTCTATTTCCTCCTCCTCTCCTCCACAGCTGTCCGCTCTGATGTTCCCACTCACTCGCTGCCTTTAAAGAAGGTTTTAAACCATAAACACTCGGGTGCATGGTGCGTGTTTCTCATTTCTTCCCTCCATTATATTTCTGCACACCTTTCAGTTACAAACAAGCGAGAGCACGGTGCAGAGCGTCGCTGAGACCCTGGATCAGACTGAGAGCAGCCTGCAGACGGAGAGACAACAGAGACAACAGATCCAGGAGCAGCTGAATCACAGCAACAAAGAGGTCGAACGTCTGCAGCAGGAACTCACGCGTGTGCATCGCACCATGGAGAAGAAGGTAATTGGTTTCCAACTCAAGGTCCACATTCAAATATTAAACAACAAAAAAAAAATTGCTCGTCTAAATTTGCCATCTCCTTGTCACAGTCGCACTGAGATCAGCAGGTTTGACTCCCGGTGTTGTCGGTGACGTACTGTATTGTTGACGACGCCTTATCAGCGTTTTCATTTGCTAACAAGGTCAGAGAACATTGTCAACACAAAACAGACAATGTCAGTGTGGGGAATAAAAAGCGGCCGAGGTTCTGCAGAATGGGGATGAAATGCAGTATTCACTTAAAATAATGCATTGTCTTTGTCCACAATGATTCTGATAAGACGGGGGTCGCACAGGTGGCAGATTCATTTAAATATTCAATTTTCAAATGTAATATTCTCTCTTCCAGGCATTGTCTATGTCTACAATAGTGCTGATAATAAGGTTTTAGATAATGGGTAATGGGATGTTCTGATATTTATTAAAACACCTCTGAAAAAGAAGACGGTGAAGTCATTTATTATATTAAGGTAAAATGAAAATTTTCTTCAGCACTGGTTTGACAGCTGTGCAAATATGACTTTGTTTGTTCTCTACATTAACGTCAAGCCCCTTCTTTTCAACGCGCTGACCTTTTATAAATTATATATCAAATTCTCATATTAATGCACTCTGTTTTGAACATAACCTTCGACCACACTTGCTCTCATACTTGTCACTAAGCCATTGACTATTTCCAAGGGCTTGAGTTTTAAAAGTAAAAAAAAGCAGAAGGTCAAGTTAAGTTCTTTTCATCGGTGAGTCCTCTTCACCAACCATTTTAGAGTAAGGTTGGGGTTGGGGTCAGGCCCTCGTTGGCCAACACCGCCGCTTGGTGACAAAAGGCCGGCGTCTTTCTATAGTGTGCAATTAAAATACCTCATGAGTTGAACATCAACAAGTTGTCTGATAAACAGTAGAATCAAGTATTTTAATTAATGTTCCAAGAGCTTTTTTGACCTTGCGTACTTCTCACATTAAGTGGGAACAAGGGACCTCGACTGTGATGTAAAAACAGCATAGAAATTTCACGTCCTCAACTCAACTTGTTGCATGAGACATTTCAGCAGACTGTCTGTCTGTCATTAAGGACAGAGGACTGCTTTATTAACCATAATTGCATTTTTTTTCACCCACATCTTTTGCAGAACTTTCTCACATGCACACCACGCTCGTCTCCACACGTAATGCCATTGCGATATAGTGATAGGTGATTGGAAAAGAGAAAGAAAGAGAAAGAAAAGACACAGTGAAAGTGAAAGAACTTTGTATGGAGTTGTTTCCTGAGCTGCTCTCAATGTCCTAACATTAGCACAGCTGAACAAATAACTGTCAACATCATCTGAAATGTTCACTTTCAGCTCCAGTCTTCCTCCCCTCCTCACTTTGGCGTACGTACATCAGGAGGATAGGAAGTCAGTTTTGCCTTTCTGGGAGAATGAATTGTTCCGTTCACATTAAAAAAAAATTGTTCAGTGACATCGCTGGAAACTTGGCAAAAGCTGTAGATGAAGAGATAAAGTACCACTGCAACCACTACGAAGGGATTTGTTATAAAGATCCTTCACATGAGAGATAGTTTAAACTAAAAAGTTTGAATGGAACTAATTTAACCCAATGAAATTTTTATAGGGACCAAGAAGTAGGATATATGCCAATATTAGCATACTGATGTAATGTCTGTAAAAGTCGTTATCGATTTTATCTCCGATAATGCAATGCCTGGGTATAGCCAAAAATGCTGGAATTCTGGGAGAATGAATTGTTCCGTTCACATTAAAAAAAAATTGTTCAGTGACATCGCTGGAAACTTGGCAAAAGCTGTAGATGAAGAGATAAAGTACCACTGCAACCACTACGAAGGGATTTGTTATAAAGATCCTTCACATGAGAGATAGTTTAAACTAAAAAGTTTGAATGGAACTAATTTAACCCAATGAAATTTTTATAGGGACCAAGAAGTAGGATATATGCCAATATTAGCATACTGATGTAATGTCTGTAAAAGTCGTTATCGATTTTATCTCCGATAATGCAATGCCTGGGTATAGCCAAAAATGCTGGAATTGCTTGTGGGGTCCTGAGATGTTTACCGCAGTTTTGGGGACAAGTGACTGCATATATCAGTACTGATTGATATCGAATTGAGTGTTTGGACAATATAAGCAAAAAGGACAACCCAAGTAAATACTGCTGTTACCATTGCTTTTTCGTAGTTTTCTTGATAATTTTGATCATAGTTTCTATCATAGTCACAATTCAATGCCATGTGTATTTTTGTTACAGTAAAAATTCATTGGTTATGTTTGGGATTGATGAATTATCTCAATTAATCATGATTATTCATGAACAATTGTAATTACAATTGATCATTATGAATCCGCAGTATGGCACTTTTTACTGGTTAGAAGCTGCTTTTGAGTGTTATAATCAGTTGAAGACCATTAGATGTGCAAATAAATTTTGTAACAAAGACATGCATAAAAACATAGGCTCAATAAATACAACAGTCTGCCTCCAAGCTAACTAGGATATATATATATATATATATATATACTATTTTACATTTGACGGCGCTACATTAAGCATATTTTGAAAACAAATTCAAACATTTAATTTAAAAAAAAATGACAAGTTGAACCGAGAAGGCATTGAAGAAAGAAAAGACCGAGGAAGAGCAGTACAGTGGAAGGCCATATTGGTGGAATCTTGTTGAAATGTTTCAAGGTTGGGCTTCAGGAAGCAGTGGCCCCGCTTTACAACCGAGTAGCTTACTGACTTTATTTTATCCTCTCCTTTTTATTTCCTAGTTTCACTTATTGCTCATTTTGTTTTTCTGGCTTTTCAGCTTCTCTGTGTCATCAGCACTCCTCACCTCTGACTGTTCAAATATTATTTCTCCCCCCTTGTCGTCCTCTTCCCCTTTTGTCTCCCACCTCTTTATCTTGTCATTGCCTGTCAGTAGGGATTCTACGAGTGCCGAGTATTGTGTGTGCAAATGTGTGAAAACATAAGACTGAGATACACTTAAGAGCTCATTGATTTAAAAATACCTTCGATATTGGAGGTCCCCTCCTGCAGATTTGTTCAGGAGCTTATCACAAGTGAAGACATCTGTGTAGAGACGTGGTGCAAAAAGAAAAAAGAAAAATACAAAGCCCCACTCTAAAGTTTCTTCTTTAACTTTGTGATTGACCTAGTTATCATGTCGTTTTTGACAACTCGTCTGTTCTGACACAACATCCTCGGGTGTTTATCAAAATCCATTCTGCCGTTCACATGCTCACATTGGGAATTCTCACATACAGAAAGGGATGGATCAAGCTTACGTTTAAAAAAAAAACAATTCAGTTGGAGAAGTTTGGGAACATAAATCAACAGATGATCTAGTCATTGTTATCCGCACACCAACGTATACACTGTTCCCTCTGACGTCTATAGAATGCAGAACATGGCCCACATTAATGCGGCCCGGGGTAGTATTTACTCTGCGTTTTTATGAGTGGTCATTTGTGAGTTTGCTGCCACGTACGTGCGCTGCAGTGTATATGCTGCTTTTTTTCGCCCTTCTCGCCGTACCTCAGGTTTAGTGTGTCTGCGAGCCTGGCTGCTGACAGGCAGGGGTGAGAGGTCAAAGAGCCAAGTTAACTCCATCAATCCCCCTGGACAGTTACAAACGAGCCCTCAACGCTGGTCAAAACAATCCCTGGATCATGCAAGGGTGGACAGGAGGTGGAGAAGGAGAAAGCAGGGTTTTGCCTTTTTTTTTTTCTTGGTCACCCTGGGAATGAAATGTACATTTCAGAAATTGAAATGTTAGAAGCTCAAATTGCGTTAATTAAATTTAAATCTCAGTCACTTGGTGACATGTAGGACACGCAATGTAAAAACCGCTAAATAAAACAGTTCTACAGCATACTGTAAAAACATTAAACACATGTATACACAAGCACACCCACGGTTTTGGCATGTGAGTGAAGAGGGTAATTAGAAGAGGTCGCCAAGGAAACAGACAAACAAAAACACTTTTCTGACCTGGGAAATACACAGATTTGTAAACAGTTCTTTCTGCGTGCATAGCATCATCCACCCAACGCCACCGCTAACCTAAACACAAATATGGGAAAATGCTATCGCTCATATATAGTAAACAGTGACCTAAGTTTCCGTCTCCTGAGGTGTGCAGTGTGTTGCCATAGCTGTTATTTGGTCAGAATATTGTCTACAAGAAAGTTTCTGTTTCACAATCGGAGAATAAAAATATCTGCCGTGCTTACATTATGGGAAAAAAACATGTCTTGCAGATGCAGAGGAGGGAGATGAAGATCAGTTCACTGATGAAAAAGCTCGCAGAAATTAAAATGCAGTTCTCTGATTTTCAGGCTGAGGTAAAACACAAGAGTTCATTATACAATGTTTGTGTAATGTAGTAAATGTGGCTGCTGACATATTTTATTTACAAAGAGAAATAGTGCAAAGTTATTCTGCATTATTTAACTACAATTTTTTCCATTTTTGTCAACTTGTCAAAATTATTTTTTTCTTTGTTTTCATACAACCTGACTGTGTTCCTCAGGTGTTTCAGAAGGAGAACATTTTAGAGCAGCTAAGCAAAGAAAGAGACGACCTCAGAACCAAGTTGGAGGAGCAGAAGGTCCAGTGTGTCCATGTGAACCAGAGCAAAGAGAGACTTGAGGCGGACTTGGCTCAAAGCCACGACAAACTCCACATCTCGCACCTCGAGGTCCGTGGCTCTCTCTGCTGCTGTCTGCATGAGTTCATGTGTTTCTGTGTCTATAGGTCAGAGATCTGCTCCAGAATAAACACACTTGAGTAAAATGTCAACATATGTACCTTATTGGAGTTTACTGTAGATTTAGGTTTGTTTTTTTGTTGGGTTCAGGTTCGAAGCAGAGACCAGTTAATCCTGCAGTTGAGAAATGAAATGAAGACGGCAGAGCTAAAGTATCGCAGGACAGAAGAACAGGTAGATTCAAAGTTCTGGATTTTACTGTGCTGTTATTTATAACTGGACTTGTTTTAGATCCAGTCTCTCGAATCATTGCATAATAATAGCTATGTTTCAAAAATGATCTCTTCTTTTCAGTATTTGGTTTTACTAAATTGTCCTAAATTTAGTTCTTCTCTTTTTCGTTCACTAAGGCTAGACCCTGAGCTTTTTTGCCAGCGGTGCCCTGCTGCACACCCACTCGTTTTCTCATATCCTCTCTCAGGAACTGCCCAAACCAGCCGTCTTCTCCTGTAGGCTCCTGAGCAGTTCCATTAGAACAGTGAGGAGAACAGCACCCTGCTCAAACACTCCACTAAAGTTGAAGCCGAGAAAAGGGGTTGGAAATCGTTAGTCAGTCGTGTCTGCCGTTCTCACATTCCCCCAGCTGGTCCTGAGATTAAACTGGGAAACTCTGACTTGAGAATATTTTACTTTCAGGCTGCTGCCGCCCCCTCGCTGTCTCTCCTGTCGGTGTGTGCTTTGTGTGTGCCCACATAAAGTTGAATTTCTTTTTAAAACTGCCACTCTTTCATTGCTCAGGTAGCAGCACTGGAGTCCGAGGTAAAACAGTTAAACCACAAAGTTGGGGAACATCAGAAAGAGGCCCATCAGTTCGGCAGAAAGGTCAGAGATGCAGAGCAGCTTAAAGAGCAGAAGGAAAAGGAACGGCAGCAGCTACTGGATCGACTCTGCACCAGTCAGCAACAGGTAAAGAAGAAGAAGAATTTCCTGCTTTTCCCCTCTCCTCCACTCCTGTGTGCACCTCCACTCCTGTTGAAATCTCTGGTAAAATTTATGGATCAGTTGAACTCTGACCTGGAATGTGTGAAACAGGCTCACAAAACTGATGCAGATACTGGAGCCAGAGGAGCATCTTGGGCCCGCTTCACAGGCTAGTGAAGCAGAACAAATCGAAGCTCAGCCAAATGCTCAGCCAACAGGCAGAAGGATCGAGAGTCAGAGGTCACGGAGCTCAAGGACAGTTTTTAAGTCGGCGGCACATGCTAGCTGCAGAGGAGCAGAGTCTGCGTGAATATTCAGTAACGCCCAAAGCCAACGTCGAAATAATGTTGGCCGTTGTTTTAGGGCTGTTGAAATTAACACATTAATCAAAGTTTTCAGACCAAGTGTCCACACGTTCAACAAACCAGCTTCACTTCAAATCCCCCGAAACTATGAGACAAAGTTTTAAGTTATTCTACTTTTCTTAATATTTGTCCAGAATATTCAGATTCACAAATGAAAACAGATGTGAGGCACTGTTCCAGCAATGTAAGAAAAAATATGATTTTGTTTTGTCGATTCATCTCAATGAATCATGATAGATGACGGATCATCATGACTTAAATTAAAGGACAAATGGTATTGGACAATAATTTATTTGGCAGAGATGGAGACATTTACAACAGTGAAGTCAAGTCTATATCTTAGGTTCAATCAAAACAATAGTAGTGTCTATCTAATTAATTTAATAGAAAGAAAGAAAATAAATAGTTGAAAAATGTCTTTTTTTTATTAGTTGTGTGTTTCATAGCCAAACTTACCTTGGCTAACCCCTCCTTTCTTATTCTTCCCGGCTTTGCACCAACAAATTTTCCACCCAACCGTACTCTCCTTTAGAATGCGTTAGTCGGATGTACCAGTTTAATCCCTGTTTGAACCCAGCCTTGGTGAACCCCTGGAATCTAACTAGTTGGCTGTCATTAGCTGTAAACCTTCGTGTTCGAATCCAGATTACAGCTGGATTAACGTGGATGAACCGGAGGCGAGCGTCTGAGTGGGTTTAACTTTGTCAACCTCTTCCCTCGGAAGGTGAGCAACGCTGGGATTCCCGGTGTAAAACCAGGATTAAGCCCAGGTTACACGCACTGAGTTCCAGTTTTTATAATGACAGAAGTAATTGTGGTGCAGTGCAGTGTACTTCACTGTGTTGTACTTCCTAGTACACAGCTATAACCAACGTAGGTAAAATACGCCAATGAAACATCACTTGGAACCAATTATGTCAATGGATTTTTGTCCTTTTTTTATTTCTCCTAACACTTAGTTCAACATTAATTAAATTGTCATTATTTGGTTACATGTTTTTTTTTAATTCTTAAATGTGTCATTTTTACATCCATATGTGTAGCTATGAAAGAAAAGAAGAATTTGTTCTTTCTGATCAAGCGTACTTTATTTGGCTTTTTTCACATTCAGGTTGAGGCATGTGAGAAGAAGCTCAAGGAGCAGGAGGATGAGATGGGACTTCTGCATCAGCAGCTGAAAGGAGCCGCAACAGAGCTTAGGGATGCCAGGCTGCAAATCCAGGAGCAGAAAGAAACCGTGGCAATCTCCAAGCTGAAGTACGCCGCAGCCATGGAGAAGGTTCATAAGTTGCAGGGGCAGGTGGAACTTTTAGAAGTGGAACTGCAGTACTCACAGACACAGGTGGGTGGTGTTTTAGTAATGATAATCAAACCTGTTTGAATGTTTTTATCATTGACCTTTTCACGGCCTGCAGCTAAGAGATTCCCAATTAGAAGCTCAGTCTCAGAAGCGAGAGCAAGCTGAGCTGGAGCGTCGGTACCAGAACAAGGTCGGCCAATGGGAGAGCTCACAAGAAGCTTTGGACCAGCTGACAGATGAGCTCCAGGCCAACCAGAACCTGCTGGAGGATAGTCGTCAAAAAATGGAGCACCTGCAAAACCTGCTGGCATCTACGCAGAAGCAGCAGGACCGTCTGAAACAACAGGTGAGGACGAGTGTTCGCACAAACATCCAGAGGCAAAAACACACACACACTGTTTGTCGTACCATACCATTTTCTTAATCTCAGTGATTCTCTCGGGACTTAACGTGTCCCTGTTCTAAACCCATGGAGAACAGTGTTACATTTACAGACGGTAACTTTGTTCTTGTAACTACCTATGGGATGCATTTCCATTTTTCTGACTTCTGACTCCTCGGTGTGTGCGTGCACATGTCCTTTGCCTGGATTCACGTGTGCACGCTCACAGGATGTGTGTGCCTGCGCACGTGTGCAGTGGCGTGTGTCACTTAATCTTTTCCCGCTTTTCTCTCTGTTTTATATTTACTACGTCAAGCAACAAATGAATCATCTTTATTACGCAGAAATTTAATTTGGATGAACTTAACTGCTGCCACCAAGGTCAGACGGGCAGAATGTCATTTTAATCCAATCAACTTTAATCTGTTGGTTATAAAAGAGTTAGGCTGTTGAAGAATGGCTGTATCTCAGGCCCTTTATTACACTGGCTAATGACTTTGATTGTGAGGCGCCTATCAAGAGGTTGGGAGCTCGTGCGGAGCTTCACATCCTGCTAATTCTCTATGTCCCACCAGCGTTGGGCTCAGATTACTCCTACTCTAAATCACAAGTGGCTTCATTTTCTGTTTTTATTCTGACACACAAATAGAGCAAAAACACAGTCATTGATTTTTTTATATATATATAAATTGGTAGCACTCATGTTCTGACAAGGTTGCTTATTGTAAATATGGCTTTAAATATAAATATTCTCTTCTTTCTTTCTAAGACATTTTCTTTACAGCAGTAACATTCAACAGTCACCAGCAGACTGTGATTGAAGTTGTTGATACATTAAGAGTTTTCTTTACTTTGACAACGTACAATCCGTTTGTTAGCACTCTGCTAATGCAATGAGGGTCAATTTCAAAGACCAAGGTGATGTGTCTCCACAGTGCAACAAATCAATACACAAATGTGTGCAATACATACTGTAATGATGACTTCAGCTAATGGCACGTCATCAGTGTTGTTTTTCACCAGTTTTAATGCACCAGAAATCAATGAAATCCTTTCAGATTGTTTTATTTGAAGACTTTATTAGCGACAGATATTTTTCGTCACAGTCATTTTTGCACATTTTTTCTCATTCTTCTTGCTCTATCTGATAGAAACTAGAGCTGGAGAGTGACTTACAGCTGCAGCGACAAAGTCACTCTCACTCTGACGAGGCGTATTTCGACCTGCAAAGACACAACCAGCAGCTGCAGAAGGTAAAGTTGGATTGTGGTTTTCAGATTATCAAATTGTTATCAATAACAAATGTATTATATTATATATTATATTATATTTATAGCAGAAACAAAGACAAGTACCTTAGAATTAACAATTAGCATTAAACAAATACATAATTTGTATTTAAATGTAGTGGCGTTAAATAAGTGTTGTATGTTTTTTGTTAAATATGCGGCCGTGTGCTTGTGTTGTTGTGTTCCAGTGCTGTGCTGAGCAGACTGAACACATTGCAGAGTGTGAAAAGGCTATTGTTCACACAAAGTCAGAGCTGGAAAGACGGTAATAACAGAGTCCATAAAACTCTCATTCTCCTCGGCTGATCTTGGTTCCTGTCATTGTCTATTCTGTCCCGCTCCTCCCTTCTGCCTCCAAGAGCTGTACATGTTTTTGCGACTGTAGTGTGTTTAAGCAATTTATCTTTTTTTTTTTTTGTTATGGCAAATCTGATTTATTTGGCTTGTTAATTAGGCCGATGCATTTCACAGCTGTTCAGACATAATAAACTGTCTGTCCTGTCTTTCCTACAGAGCCCAGCAAAACACAGCCCTGAAGCAGAGCCTGGCTCTGTCACTACAGTCACACCTGAACAGTCACAGCCTGCTGGAACAGGAAGTGACACGTCTGAAAAATGAAATCACACACTTACGGAAAGAGCTTGGAGATGCTGAGAAGGTATCAAGGATTAATATTAGTAATAATCTGCTGACGTGACCTCTCATTTACACAGTCTGCGCTGTTTTGACCTTTTCATACTGCGACCCACCTGCCTGCTCCATGTTGCCCGCATTCATCTCAGTTGAGCCTCACGAACTGTAGAGTCGGTTGAGGCGACCTCAGGAGCAGCACTCAAACCAAACTCAACTGGCACCAGCAAACCCAGCACTCATCATTTTCCTGCCACTGCTTTGGCAGAAACAAATTGCTGCACCATTAATTAAAGCCACCAAACAGTGCCAAGGTTGGTGAAATTGACTCCAATTAAGAGCTCAATGGGACACTAAATATTCAAATTACTCAAAGTGGTGACTGCTGGCTGGCTGAGTGCCAACAATGCTGGCAGTCATCGAGGCGTCACCCACATGAGTGTGTGTGTGTGTGTGGGGGGGGGGGGGGTGAGTGCGTAAGCCAAGCTGTCGCAGCACAGACGGAAATGAAAACGTTTCCCCAATCACAAACTGTACCAGGTCGTATTTATCGTGAACACACAAACACACACATCCTGTCCCTCTTCAAACAGCACAAACGCACACTTTAGGGAAGCTCGGTGTACACGACAAGACACCGTGTCATGTCACGTCGTGTCCCCCTGCTGTCAGGTCATTCTTTCAAAACTCTGTCCCTGTGGAATATGACATAATGAGTCTGTCTTGAAGAGACGACACATGTATTGATGGCTACATCTGCATTTGTCACCTTCATTATGCATGCGTACATTAATCTTTATTAGGCACAATTTCACAAGAATCTAACAAGTTGAATGCTCTGCACTTTGAACAGTAATGAGTTCAGGAAATGCTAAACAACGTCTATTTTATTGAATGCTCCACTGTCATTTCCACTGACCTGGGTGATGCTCAGATGAAGTGCTGCAAGTGTTTTGGCTGAAGCCTCAATAAAGATCATACATGTCAAACTTGAGGCCTGTGGAACGAATTCGGCCGCCACTTAATTTTGTGTGGCCCACCAGAGCTTAACATACATTTGGTTATTTTTAAATAAAATTTGATAGTATAGCCTCTACTAATGTTGAATTATATACTGCAAACTCTGTTTGTGTATAACTTACACATCAGGCACACATTTATGTATGTTACCTATGAACTACATCTCCCACAACGCACCTAACCTTTTACTATTTACCCTTAGAAAGAACAGAACAGAATCTTGATTTAGACCACAACAAACTGACCAAAAGAAAATTCAGTTGCAATGACAACAAAGAATGGATTATTTAAAATTATTTCAAGCCCATATAAATGATGTGGGTGTGTATACATATGTTGTACATTTCAAGACAAAGCCACAGTATTTACATAGTCATGGTAGTCATTTCTAAGTATAAAATATATTTTTTAAATGATACAGAAGAAAGCCAAGCACATAAAAACACTGGATCATGTTTCTCTTTACCTTCACTGCAGGAACGTGCATCGCTCCTCAGGAAATTTGACGAGGAACTCGATGAGGCCCGGCGCGAGTCTGTGCAAAGCAACAAGGATGCAGAGGTGCAGAAGGAAGAAGCTCAGGGGCTGCGGGAGGAGTTACTGGGAGAGAAAGAGAAAATGAGACGTGCCACTGGCGAGAACCGGCACCTGAGCGCTTGCATCAGGAAGCTGAGCCAAGAGCTGGACGAGCTGCACGGCAAACATCGAGTGACAGGTAGCAGTCAGTCAACACATCCATCAGCTTCTGTCAGTCCGTCGGTCGACATATTGCCTTTGGGTCGACCATGCAGTGTGTACTCGTTGACATTTTGAACTTTTTTTTATAAAAATGGCCTACAATAAATAAGCAAAAATGAGCAAAAATTAAAACTACTAATTAGAGTCACACTGCTGGTTTGATAGACTTCTACATCTTCAGTTTTGACAACATTAGTCTAAATATGACTGTATGTTATTCGCTTTTTTTTTGTTGTTGAATCATCCAAAACACTTTTAGATTATTCAGGTATCTCAAATTAGGACCACCTATGTACTTATATGGTGACTAGCTGTCTGCAAGCGAAACCAAGTCAGACTCACACACACACACATACATACGGAGGCCTGCAGTATATTGAGGTTTGATTTAATGGGGTACTGCTTTAGTTGTATGGTTGTGTGTTGGTGTGTGTGTGTGTGTGTGTGTGTGTGTCTGTCCAACAGTGGCCTTTGTAGTAGTGTTTTAGTGCAGGAATGGTCATGGCTGGATCTCTGTGGGCACAGAAATGTCTCATTAAGAATTAACGTACACATCCATGGTCACGCCAGGCAAACACCTCACATTTACACGCACACGGCCATTTCTCCCTGACTCCCACTGCTTTAATTAGCACATACACCGTCGCTCACACACACACACACACGCACGCACGCGTGCCCAATCACCTATTGTCCGCAGAGAGATGAATCTGAGGTCTCTCTCTGTGGCAGGCAGCGGCTGGCTCACTGGCTGAATACTGCTCATTAACAAGATGGAGACAGAAGGACAACACTGTGTAGTTTGGCCTTTGACTGTGATCAAAACGCATTCCCTCAACTCCACGCTTGACACAAAACCCACATATTATTCAGCTTTTACCTTCAGCGAATTCAATCCAGCGGCGCTGGAGCCGATCATAATGACTTAAGAAGAATAAAGATGCATTATTATAACAAAGAGGGCATTGTTTACCTGGATACAACGGTGGCCTGAATAGACTGGGTGAGAAGTCAGCTTGAGAAATTACTGCCAGGAACAAAAGGCCTTTTCATTAACGTGAACCCCTTGTCAAGGTTCTCTCTCTGTTTTGTAAACATTGCCATGAGTGGTGATGATTCTTTTTGTTGCTTGTTAACAGTAGATCTTGCCTGCGATGGAGGGAATTGTTAAAAATAAACAGGTTATCACAACACTTTACACAAAGACCTTTAAAAGGAAAGTGAAGGGGGGAAAAAAATCACTGTGGAGGAGAAATGGCTCATCAACGGTCAAAATTTTCCATAATTTCACATTTACCATTGCATGTTATTTTTTGGACTCTATTCTTCTATTCTTTTTGGTCATTTGGCTGGGTATTGTCAATGCGTAATAACTTTTCAATCATAAAAAAATGAAAAGTTTACCTGAGAGTTGAAATGGATTTGAATGGATGGAACTGTAAAAGTGCTGCTAATAGCAGGTAAATAATAATAATAATGTCCCATTTAGTTTTCTCATATCTCATGTTGACATATGAATTATTATAGAATTTTCTCTCCATCAAATTGTGTTATTTCTTTGATGGTGTGATGGAAATGACATCTCTCCCCAATCGCTCCTTTTTTTTTTTTTGCTGGTGCAAATGCACAGCCGTTGTCCCTCTGTATTTTTTACGGAGAAGACAGAGGAAGAAAGAAACGGAGGAGAGAAGGGTGAGCTGGGAATCAGGAAGGTGTCAGATGGATGAGACTGAAGTGTGTGAGGCAGCTTGCTACAATCAAACCCTGTCAGGAGAGAATTCAGAGACGGGAAAAAGCGAGTGATTAAAAAACAGCAGAGGGAAAAACTTCCTGATACACGGTGTACGTCTGTACGTGTCACATCCTGTCACTTTCTGACAGCATACCAGATATCAGTCTCACACAAAATACTGAGTAAATCACACAGCATTCGTTACGATGCTAAGAGTTCCCGTGTGTGCAGCACCTGCATCTTTCATACGGTGGGAGGGTAACTCAAAAAGTTTTAAGACATAGTGGAAAAAAAAATTTAATGAAAATAACAAAGTTCTCCTTCTATCCTCCATTTGGGTTTGTAGAACTGCTAACAGTTCTGGTAGCAGATTTTATCAGATCATTTTTATTTTTGTAGAATTGTGGGAGGGTCATGACCTGTGTCGTGACCTCATCGAAGGACTAGAATTTTGTTCTGTGTACAAAATCTGTTGTATTTTCAACTGTTTTTATTCATAGTCTGGTTAAAGTATTTGGTTTTAACATTGTTCTATTTTTAAGTTATGCCGGTAAAAACATGAGCATCAACATGTACAGTTCCACTCTGGACAAATCCTGTCAAATCACAGGTCTGGAAATTTTGACATCAGTCCTGGACTTATCGCTGTGTGTTAGTTTGACACAATGAATTTTCAACTTGTCCCAAAAGACATTCAAACATAAAGTAGGCCCGTGTCATATACCTCATGTTTAGTACAACACGTTGTGTTTACTGTTCAGCTGAAAATATTGAAAATGTAACTAATGCCGTCGCCTTACATGAAAAATAAGATGAGTTCTAAGGCCAGCCGTAATGTGGAATGAATGTGACGCCGTGTGACGACAAATGAAATAAGAGCATAAACAAAAACACAATAACCATATTTCTATACTCCCAAGAAAACCAGAAACGTGATATTACCACAGCTCTGCTGCTGCTGCTGCTGCTGCTGATGTGCATCTGCCTAAAGATGATGAAATCATTATGGTGTGCATTTTTTTTTTTTTTTGCACTCACATTCTCTCACGTGCATGCGTGTGCTGCTATTCACTGCCGATCCCCGGACGCACACATGCACAGGCCTCTCTCCTCCAATTCACCTCTATTACTAGCTATAATCCCATTTCACACTCTATCGATCCCCAAAACTGTTGTTCACCGGAACCAGCAGCAAACACTGGCATTTCTCCCCATCATTTCACCACCATTGTTCTTTATTACACAAAGAACCCTCCCTCCCTCACCCCTTCTCTCCCTCCCTCTCTCTTGTTCACTCTCTCTCTCTCCTACACCTTTGTCTTAGAGCAAACTCGGTCCAGCTGAAATATGAATTATAAATGTATGGCTAATAAAAGAGAACGGGAGGAAAAGAAAGGGAGCAGGAAAAGGAGAGACTGAAGATAGAGAAAAGTGGTCGGTAGAAACATCAGAGAAAATGACTCCTTTACAAGAGTCTATTGATCAGTTTCTATCAAAGGGGGATGTCAGACATGAGATTACCTGGCAGTTTGAGCATTAGGTGCCGTGTGTTATAGCCCCGGGCCCTTGTACCGCTGCCATAGCATTGTAAATAAAGCGAAGAGGAGAGTGCAAGAGGGGAGTGTTTGGGGTGAGTGTGTGTGGGTTTGACTTTCCGTGTGTGTGCACGTTGGTCCTTCCTTCCTCAATGCGAGTGCTCGTGATTGTTTGTTTGTTTGTTCTTGTGTTCTATTTGCCTTCATGGCGCCGTGCAGCTGTGTACCTGCACCTTTTGGCTTATACCCAAAAGCAGTGTTGCAAGCCCATGAAACTTCATAAAGGGAGGAAAGAGTCTTGAGAGGCTTCGGGACGCCTCTTGGGAGAATCTCAGCCCGCTACGAATCCTGCAACAAAGCCAAAGGAAGCCACTGTGAAGCCGTATGAAGCGTTTTTGTGGGCCGGGCAGGGCCCAGGACTGATTCAGGGTTGGCTGGCTTTTCATCCTTCTCATGTTAAAGGTTAGGTGCAAGTGCAAGGGTAATCTGACTGCTGATCTGTGATTATATAGCTGATGCTATATGATGAGCTTTGAAGCAGGTTTGAAAGGGAGAAACCGGGGGAGAGTAAGATTATGGATTAATGTCTCACCTTAAGTTGCCAAGCTGACATAAAAGGGTCAAGACAGTCAAAGTGCACCAGACCCAAGATCCTAGATTGTGGATGGATGTCAAATCTTAATTCATAATGCCTCCAAACTCCAGCTGTAATACAGACAAAATATTAAAGACGTTCTTACACAAGTAACATCAGACTACTGCAGTCCTCTGTGGACGCCTTGGTTCAGGCATGTGTGTGTGTGTGTGTGTGTGATTACAGAGTTTGTGTAACAGTTGGACTAACAAGCTGCTATTTCTGCGGCCTCTCCTGATTTGAGGTGTCACTGAGGTCGCCTCACGGCAAATATTTGGAGAAACAATCGGATTCACAAACCTGTGGTCAGAAACCTAAACTTTAGCATTTGGAGATGAAGAGAAAAACAAAGATGGACACGGTTAAAGTGAGAGTAAGACTAATGTAAGACTGGGAATGGTCATGTAATTAACATAGTGTTCGGTTTTATAATCAGACGGTAAACTGCAGCAAAGATGGGAATCAGATTTGTACCAAAAATCTTTACTTGTTTGTTGAAAAAAATAACAACTTACAATTGCCAAAAACTAAAACACCACATAGACAATGGTGGTACATCAGCAGTGTATGTCTAGTAAATATTAGCTATATGTGTAAATATATATGGCACATAATGATGTAACAGTGAGAAAACTACATCTGAAACGTATTAATGCAGTTCACCAAAAATGTTTGTCTGTTTTACAATGTTGAGGTATATCCTTGAAACAGAGCTCGCTCACACACACCTTTACATATTCAGTGCACACACACCTTCTCAATATTCACTAGCCTTGGCCACCGATGGCTGACAGTTTATGTTGTATTCAATGAATACGGAATTTAGTGAAAAGATTTTAACAGCTATGAAGAAACATTGACTTACAAAACAGCTCGAACAGAACAAAAAGAGGGGCTGTGAAGAGGGCAAAACCCAAATTTCAAATTCAAAGTGAAAAGAGTCTGAGAAGCAAACCTGACCAAAGAAACTGACTAGTGGTTTATTATTCATCCCTTCGATGTGCTAAACTACTAAGTGTAGGACAATGGGGTTTTATTGCATGTGGACTGAAGAGACAGCTGAAAAGGGAATGTGATTGAGGATCTGCTCTGTATGAGCTTAAGTGGCCTGCTCAAGGTAAAGAGTGCCATCTATTGACCAGGTCTGGGATCTCTTTTGCTTTAAAACAAAAGAGCTGCTGCTGCTGCTGCTGCCGCCGCTGCCCCATCCAAGTGTAATCAGTGCAATATGTTTTCTCTCCTTCCTCCTCGGCCTCTGAAAGGCATTCATTCGCCTTTTCTGTGCCGGAGTTCTGCCTTGTGCTGCAAAGGTGACTTGCAGTTCATGTTTTCCCATTCGTGCTGATCTTGAGGAGAATCAATAATCACCTCGCTGTATTCATGTTTTGTAAATCTCTCCATTAACCTTGGTGTACTGCAGATGTGAAGCAGCGTGGAGATATTTCACTCAGGTCAACCACTTGTTCTTCATGAATGCAGAGAGAACACAGAAGCAATTGGCGTTAAAGAAATAAGTGGGACAATTGCTAATAATATCTCCATTTGATTTTTTTTTTTTTTGTTCTTTTTTTTCATTCTGTCACATGTATGCAGTTTGAATTAGGTCTACTCTCTAATGGATCCTAAACAAGAGCATCTGAAGTGAACTGTTGCTCTTTATCTCACACATTCTTTCTCTGTCTCTCCTGCTCAGTGGAGGATTTGGCAGCCCGTGCAGAGGAAGTGAGGCGGATGGAGGGAAGCCTGACTGAGGGGAAGCTAGCAGAGGAGAAAATAAGGTAAAAAGAAGGGAGACGGGGGGAAGAGAAGCCGTCTCTCTTATCCCCCTTCCACAGTGTCCCCGGGGTAAACCGGGTAATCAAAAACATCTCGGATTTTTATGTGCGGTGTACAGTAGTCTGTTTAACTCAACATGTGTTGAACAGAACACCCCTGAACTCCAAACAGGCATCCTTCCTGATAAGTGCACAAAACAAAGTCATCGGCCCTCTGTTGGCTCTTTTAACACAATAAAATGTCATTTTTTAAATACATCTTGTCACCTCACCAACTGAAAATGACCAAAAATGTCTGTGTTATACACAAAGTCCTTCTTGATGAGACACAGGGGGTGAGCAGATGTTAGGTCACCGAGTTCATAGTTCAGAGGTGAGACCCCAGGCTGACCCCTGTGTGACACCAACGCTGCGGTGGTGACATCAGCAAGCATGCATCACCCCGTGTGTTTGTGTGTTCCTGTTTGTGCGCGCATATTTGCGGTTGTGGCTTTGGCTTCAGCATGACCTCACTGCAACAGTCTCCGTCTCGGGGAGTTTCTCGGTGAAGTCGAGCCATGGAACATTTTCCCTCGTCAACCAGCAATTTAAAACTCGGCATGGAGACTTTATAGGTTACACTCTGAGTTATTGCGTTTTATTACATTTCAACCCAATTTTGGGTCTTGGACGGTAAAAACAATGGCTACGTGTGCATATTACAGCCATTTGCAGAATCAAGCTGTTTACTGTTAGCCCTGTATTATCTAATAACTGCAAAGACATGAAAGGTTTTTAAGCAACAACACCATGCTAATGGCTTCCATCTGTGCTGTGGGAAATCCCCTCCTTACTCCACAGGACGCCTCCTCTCTTTCTTCCCTTTCTTTCTCCCACTCTGTTCGTCCTATCATGTGTTCTCTCCACGGACCAATCTATCAGCCATTGTCTTCCCTTTTTATTTTGGCTCTTCTCACTCTGACTCAGTTTTTTTTCCTACTATCTTCAGCACAGTCTGTTTGTATTATTGTAACCCCCTCCACTCAATTATTATGTATTGAGAAACCATATGTGTCATATACTAATTCCTCCAGATAACATGTTTTAGAATGGACTCTTTTTAAACGTGTAATTTAAAAATGATACTGTGTTATTGGTGGTTCAGGCTTGTCTCAGTTTCAGGATGGCTGTGGATTTATTTTCATTTTTAAATTAGTGAGTCCGGCTCAGAGTCTGTGTTTCGTGTCAGCATCCATCCCTCACACAGCTCATTTTTCTATATTTTACATTTCTCTGTCCAATTAATACATTAAGATAACAGATGATCTCCAATCCCTGACTGGGAATTCAATTGTTTCTCAATTTTTCAAATGATTAAAATGTTGTGGAACATTTTCCTGCATATATATTTTAAAAGCGGAAATCTACATTCCCATAAAAATATACAGAAATGTGATTTTACAATGAAATATCCACAAAAATGCTGACACATATCATATTTAGTCATTTGTAATTTTCTGTAAAATAAATGACACGCCCCATCTTTCCAGTAATTCCACCATCTGATCACCTAGAATTCATACAAAAGTACACATAAATATGTCATTTACACCAAACGCAGGAAACCATAGAGCTTTTACCTTAAAATTCCATCTCAACACCCAGCATGCACTTGTGGAGGCCTCATCCTCAGTGAGATGTCCAGCTTTACATGGTGCAGGGCAGGAAATGGTTGACCAGCTGACTAGCACCACGGTCAGTGGATATGGGAGGGAGTGTAGAAAAAATAAATGTTGTTGAAGACAACGACTTCATCACAGGTTAGGAAGAAACTTTTAATCCACTGTCAAAATGTGTAATAATGACCAAAATCCACCAAGTCTATGAAGATACATTTTTAGTTCAACTTTTAAAATTATTTAATCTCAATTAATCATGGTTAATCATTAATCACAATTAATCAATCATTAATTGTGATTTACCCACAGCTTCCCTTAAACAGATCAGTGCTCCAGCAGCAGACACAGACCTGACTGTATCATTCTGTTTGTTTTGGTTCCTACAAATTTTCACTTGAGGATTTTTATTTTTTTAATTTATTTTTTTAATCTGTGTCCATAAGAGTTGTCTGTGTCAGTGTGTACATGTGAATGGGTGGTTAAGGGGGGAGCGGGAGGTGAGGTGCGGGTGTTGAGGCCTAGTAAGCAGCCAAAGCGCGGCTGTGGAGGGAGGTTTGTGGAAATGGTAATCATTTGTCGTATTGATCCTGCAGTAGCCAGGGCAGCTGGCACACACGAGCGCAGCGGCGGGCGTGTACGCAAACACCAACAGACTCGCACACTCGTGGACGCACGGTTGCGTGGCAGGAATAGACCTTTTCATATTGATCCCCTTCACATTCCCTTAGCTCAAGTGCCACGCACGCTCACACATACATTACACACACACAAACACACACACACATTCCCACATACTCAGAGTACCTTAAATACTTTAAATTGAGTTCAAATACCATCTATTTTTTTAGAATTAAAAACATTAGTTTAAATTGCTGCTATAAAAATCACAATGGTGTAGATGGTTAAGAAATTATTTTGAAAACAAAATAAGTCCACTGTGACGTGTGTGTATTTTGACAGTGAAAATGTGTTGGAAATACCACAAATGTTATGAAGCTGAATTCTCCTTGTCTGTGCATACAGATCAGTGGCTGTAAAGTCGGAGGCAGAGGTGGCAGAGCTCAGGAAGAACCTTCAACAGGCTGTCAGTCAGAAGCTCAAGGCAGAGAGAGAGAAACAAGACGCACAGGACCAGGTAAATAAATACAGCAGACTGTGGCAAATCATTCCAAGTGTGTGTCTCTTCAGTTTTGGTGTCTGCACAGGTGAGTTGTCTGCCATTCCAACTATCCCCGCACCTTAGGAAAGCTTCACTTTGTGTTTTATAATGTGATTATTAACTTATTTACAGCCAGTCAGGCTACTAAGTAGTTTAAAATGCTATTTAAATAAAATTTTCATCCTCTCCTCGCCAATAGCGCCCTCTTAAGTCTTCAAGGCACAACCCTTGCTTTCCTTTATTTTTTTCTTCCTTCTCCATCCCCTTCCCTACCTCTGTGATGATTAGTGGCATATATCCGGTGCTACAGCCTGGATTATCTTGTCCAAGAGGATGGGGGGAATAGGTGGGGGTGGGGGGGGCATATGGGACCTTAAACCTGGCAAGGTGATTTGGCGCATTAATTCCTGGGAGTAATATTTCCTGATATTCCCTAATGTTCTGGTTTGGAGTGTGGGAAAATCCCTGGGGAAAGCGGTTGTCAGAGCTGAGCTGAAGCTGTACAAAGGCAGAATGGATAATTAAGGATAAAGGCAGGATGGCGGGGAGATGTTCATTTAGATTCCACAAACTTTTAATTCACCACTGTGCTCTCTCCCTCTCTGTCTCTCTCTCGCTCTCTTTTCTGCCTGATCTTGGCTTTGCATTTTCTTCCACCATCTTCCTAAACTTTTTCCTTGCTCTACTGTCTTAGTTCTTTACTGCTCCCTCTCTGATCTCTTGCTCTCCTTTTGTCTTTTTCTTTTTTACTCATCTGTTACCCATGAGGATGACAGACTAATTCCCTTAGCTCATTTTACACAGCCAGTTAAAGGCGGGAATGCTGCGCCTTTACAGCACTCCGCTTTACCTTTCTGTATGAGAAGTAAAAACACAGAGCCAGATTGTAGTAACACTGGGTCTCTAAGAGGCATAAAAGCAGGATTTTTTTCAAAGCGATGCAGCCTGTACAGCATACAGTACGGCTCCTGTTGGTTATCATATATATTTTCTTTGCCTAAAGCAAGCTGATTGGTCAGTCTGTAGACAAGTAAAACCTAATATGGATGCTGTCATCTGTTTTTCCAATCCTTACATATTCAATATTTCCACAAACAACTCACCCCTGCATTCGTCTTTTCCACCTGTCCTCAGGGCTGCCCGCGTGTTACTGGGTTCTGTAGAGGGTTCCACACGGCCTCACATGAGACAGTATTTAAGTCTGGCCTTATTGGACCTGCTCAGGGTTTTCCCCCAGTGTGTTCATTCAACCAGGGTAAGGCTCAGGTGGACAATCATACATTTCTTGGAATTTTTTATTTATTTATTTATTTTATTTACGTCTGCAATTTACCTGCACATCTTTGAGCACTTATTATTTTTTGGACTGTGGGACTTAGAAAAACAACGAACATTTTTGTAAACGTTAAAGAAAATGTCTATAAAAAATCCTTCCATTGTGCTCGAGCCACATGTGTTTTTCGTAGTACGAAAACAGGGGATGATTTGATATCCATGAGCTTAATGAATATGTCCGTTAATGTGTGTGTTTGCATTGCTGCACACTTGTGTGTCTGGGCCAATTCACAGTTTACGTTTCCCTCGTCTGCAAACTGTTTTCCATCATCTCAACAACAGATGAGCTTTTCGACGAATTCCTCCACAAACAGTGTTTAAACAGCGACGCGACGGCAGTCCTGACTATGACTCCTTCATTAGGTCCCAATCTGTGCTATCGACTAACAGAAGATGAATTATCCACTGGTGGAAAAAAAAATCAAAGGGTTTGAAATGGTAAATGGTACACTACAGTGGCCTATAGAGGAAATCTATATTACAAATTGCCTCAGTGCACAGTTGCTGAACCTCAGACAGCTCTGTCTTTCCAGTGGGTATGTCTATGTATGCAGGTCGTGCTCCTCACATACAGTGTGTGTGTGTGTGTTTACAGTATGTTGGTTCCATTAGTAAAAATGTTGGTTTTCTCATATTTGTTCGACTCATGCGGAGAAATAGATTTGGATATAATCTGGTGGTCAACTTTACTTCTGCATGTGAGTTCCTCAACACACACACACAGGCACACACAAAACAAACACACTCGGACATGCAGACTGATACATGCGCGGCTCGTTCCTGTCTCTCTGCATGAGTCCGGTTCAAATACGAGTCACAGTAAACACGAGGCATGTTTTTATGATTGATCAGACCAGGCCTCCCTCTTGCTCTTTTTTTCGCCCTCTCTCTCTCTCCAACTCTTCCTCTTTCACACACACACATACAATCACATTCATTAGTGTGTTAACCTCGACTTTTTTTTTTAACACGGAGAAAGATTTTAAACAGTTTTAATGAGAATATGCAGGCGAGGGAAGAAGTAAAGTTTGTGGGTTTTTCTTTTTTTCACGGTCAAAACTTGTCTTATTTGAGTCCGAATCTTCTACAGTGTTGAGGTCTTCCTATAGAAATGCAATTAGATTCTGGCTTTTAATCATGTTGTGTTTGGGGATTGCCTTGTGGTCCATACGTAGCATTGATCAAGACAAAAAAATCACAAACTGTTCCTCAACGATTTTTGTACAGCACAGAAGTTGCATCAAGGACTAAGTGTGCAAAGAAATAAATATATTTTTTCTTCCACTGTTCTTTACCAACTCAGCACTGATGGCTGTAACTGTGGGACTTCACCTGCCAACTTGTCACAAATTCTAAATAAAGAAGTTCTTTTTATTGCTGTTTTATCAGGTTAAATTATGCTAAATCGTCTTGTTTCTAGTCCTGTGTGACGGACAGACATCCAGAACTCAGTAGTAGGAAACACTATCTGTGGTTATGCACAAATGTATGTAAATGTGTTCACCCGTTAATAGCTGTGTGGGTGGGCGGCCTCATCTGCTCATTGATCTCACTCATTACACCTCACCAAAGCCACAGGTCTGGTCTAATTAGCTTAGAATGTCCTCACACAAGACCAGTTTTTGCACACACACACACACACACAGTCTGATGTTGAGGAAATGAGAACAGATAAATGAAGCTCATTTGTTTAGTTGATGGATCTAAAGAAATAGACCAATTCTCCGTATGTTTAACCACCAAATAGTCTCTGTATTAGTTCATTTTTTTGTGTGTGCGCACGTGCGCGTTTAGAGCGTGTCCTAGTGTCACCATCGCTTTCAAACACAGCTCATTAAGTTACAGAGCTGTAATTCATTTGAGAGATGAGACACACTGACAAAGTAACAACGCTTTATTTCCCGTCCTCACATTAACTTGATAACTCTGTGTGTGTCCCCGGTGTCTGTCATAAACTGTCTCCGTCCCCATTGAAAGTTGCTGTGTTAGGGTTGATTGGGGGCCACTTAAGACATGGAGATTTTAATTGAGAAAGGGACAGAAAAGGACAAGAGGCAATTATGAGAAGAGGACTTACGTAACGCTGTTTTAGCACAGCTCTGTTAGTGATTTTCTCATATTCTTTATAAACCTGGAACAGAGGAAGGTTTGAATCTCAGTTGTCTTAAGGCCGTTATACGCTGGGGCTGAAGTTTACAGTAAATTCCACTCTATTTTTGTAATTTTTGATGTATTTCTGTTGGATTTAAAGTTGAATCTGTCCTTGTTTTTACACTTGATTTTAGTTTCCCGTTCAGGCAAAATAACTTTTAACTAAATGCTAATGTTGCATTAGTGGTAGTCGTCATTGTTTTGGTTTGGAATTAGGTGTAAGAACAGCACATTTTTGAGTAGTTGAAACACCACTGCAGTGCATTGTGTTTAGAAAACAGGTTTCACAGCTGAGCAGAGCAGTGCCGTTCAATGAAGGCCCTGCGACGTCAGCAAATCACTACACTAAAGACTGAACAAGTTACTCTTTAAATGCTTTCACTTTGACCTAAAGGATACACTTGACTGTGGATAGGAAAAATTGTATTTAACCTGACAGAAAAGTGGCCAAAATAAAAGCTTTATTCCGAGACTGGTAATGTACCAGCGTGCATGCAGGCTAGATGTTAGATAGTGGGCTTTAATAATGGCAGGCACTGATAAACAACCCAGCAGCATGCGTAGGAGAGTGTGTGATGAAAGGGCTGAGGGAGAAGGAGCCTGGCCATGCAGGAGCAGATGAAGGTAATTAAAGAAGCCATCATCAGCATCATTAATATGCTAGATCTGCTGTGGCCCACTGACTAGTCTAATGGAGAACATGTCATCATCGTCACCATTAGGGAGAGTGGGGCACACATAAACACATGCACACGCTGTCTTAATGTTGGGTCACGCCATGATTATCACCATTAAGCCCAGAGTGAGAAGACCTGCGTAGGAAACGTCATTCACCCCTGCCTTGGTACATGCAGTAGACACACACACACACACACAGACGTAGAGGCTCAGATCTTTAATTCAAACCCTGCGAGTGATAAGTATGCATATTTAAGTGATGTCAGGCCTGTTGGGTCTTTTAATTAGACAGAATGAATGAATGTTTTATAAAAACGTGTTTAACAATAAATGTGTTCATTAATTTGATGAGAGTATGTTCTCTGATGAGCAGTGGAACGGAGTAATGGCTGGAATTCAGCTCCGCTGGTTTGACGCTGATGGCAGCAACAGCCAGACTGTTTCTGATTTCATTCCCTTAATCTTCATGTTCCCCACTCCACCCGGAGAAGTTCACTTTGAATTATGTTTATCCCACGACTTTGGACAGCTTGATCTGTTTTAGTGCGAATGCACATTTGTCCTGTTCGGCTAATGCGTAATGCGATACCAGACTGCAGCTCCATGGAGAATAGAAAAGATGGAAAATCCATTAACTGCACCAGTCCTTGCAACTTTTTCCCCCCTGTCTGCAGGTATGCTTTGTGGTTTGTCATGAAAGTAAATTCAGATGTAGAAGTTCGGGAGTTTTAAAAAAAAAAAAAAAAGTTTAGTTCACAAAGTCCATCTTGCACCTATTGTCAACTGAGAGTGCGGGCTGTGGGCTGGACAACTCTGCCTTATTCTGATAAAATAAACCATCAACATGATAAATACTGTTGAAGCAGCTGCAAAAGGTTCTAAATCCCCCGGCAGCAGCAGCTCAGCCAGTAAACTCATTTTTTAGCGCAGACCTGAAAGGGACCATTGGTGTCGCCAAACTTGTGTCCCAAATGCATTCTGTTGCCCCTTTTAGCCCCCCATCATCTGCTAAAATATTTGTGCAACAAAACCAATCTAAATGTTAAGCAGCTACGCTACTTTACTCCCACACCCCCGCCCCCTGCAATCGCACCTCCATGTCCCCTTTTTGCCTTTTTCTCTAAATGTCCCCCCACTCTCCCTCAAACACACTTGCAGCTCAACCTCCACCCCCGCCACCCCCCACCCTCACCTCCCCTTTCCTCACACCCTTTCACTGCCTCTCTTGTCACAACATCAGGCTCACACTGAGATTTACATCCCTCCACCAGCCGAGCCAGACAGTCATGGGGGAGATGCTAATGTGAGACCACAGGTAATTACTGTCATTACACTGTGCCACATATCCAGCCAGGGTGTGTATGTGCTTGTGTGCACTTGTTCAAGTGGAGTGCGTGCGTGCTGGTGTGTGTGTGTGTGTGTGTGATTGTGTGCAAATGCATGTTTTATTTTTCTTCTTTTTTTTTATATGAGCCTTTAATGGTTTACTACTTTTTTTTTTAAGTAAAATAATTAATATTGGTGGATATGCCTGTGGTTCGTAGCCATTACCTTCTTCATATGAAGATGCATCAAAGCAGGGAACAACTCAAATGAAATCCCAAAACAACAGGGATTGGCAATATTTATTATAAACTTAATTACAATTGATAGCCTCACTCTGTTGACTCTTCAGAATTGAACGATTTGCTCAATATGAGTTCAGTGTCTCCATTGTTTAGTCTTCAATAATTTATGGAGCTGAAATGCAGCCGTTTCTTAATCCAGACACAGTGAAATAAGTGTAATTCTTTTCATCGTTTTAATTATTTATTACGCGTCGCTGTCATTTCCACAGTCAAGGAAAAACCTCTCCTTCAGCTGAACCTCCAGCATCTTATTAAATAGTTGAATTTAAGTCTCTGAGTGTGTTCCAAGACTATATTTTTGTAATATATTTACACTTTAGTGTTCGCCCAAATTGCACAAGATGTAGAAAAATAATCTTTTAAATATTATTAATTCATATTGAAATTCAATTGGTGCACCATTCATGTCTCACATCAGTTAATATTTTAACATTTACCAGTAATTACTTTACTTTTTTTGTGACATCTTATTGGAAACTTTTCACACTCGCCCTGTGGGATGATGGCATGTTATATCAAGGTGTTTCCATGGCGATAAGGGTAATGTGTCAGGGCCCCCTGAGTTCAGGGCTGCAGAGGTCCCGCCAGATAAGCAGAATGAAAAAGTCAGCATTTTGGAGAACCATGCCATCCCAGTTTTTTTTCACCCTTCCAACAGACCTCACCCTTCTCCAAACCTCGCCTGCGACACATTCTGCTCATCCCCATCCTTCATCTTTTGTTCTTAAGCACCTGCATGCAGTAATACTTCACCCTGCTATTTATACCTTGTCTAGACATGTCACCGCCCTCAGCCTTAATTTTTCACTATTTTAGCAATTTTCACCTATTTCTTTTTTTCTCTGGGGCCAGCATGAGTGGATGAAGCCCCATGTCTCTCATTACTCACCCGCAAATATTTTTTTTTTAGTGTAAAGTTTGTGGACATAAATACTGCCATGTACTGCTGTACAAAAGTTTTATGGTATTCATTTTCTATTTCTATTTAATTTAAAGTATTTAAATAAATAAGATAGAGAAGTAAAAGCTTGTTTTCCACTTAAAATAATATATATATATTTCCATTCTTCACTCTAGTATGTGTATTTAAAAAGAATATCTGGATCGCAGCCTGTGATCATGCCCATCTTTCACTCTCTTGGGTTCTAGATTCCAGGGAAAGGTCAAAAATTCATATTTACTCAAATTTCTGTAATTATACAAATACAAAACTCCTTAATGACCCAGACTGATTAGAGAACATGTTGTAAATAATGGGATTATCTACTTACATTGGCTTAAATATTGGAGAAAGGGGAAAGGCTGAACAAAAGGTAAAGTGAATACACCTGCAGGAAACACATGCCCAGTCCCATATATCAGCAGAACACTGCATATTTACAAACTCATCTGGTTCACAGCCAACCAAAAAGCAGCGTGATTGAATATTTTAATAAATACAATATTATTATGCGTAAATCATCAGGGCTCAGATGAAAACGACGTGAATCAAGTAAATGGCACTAAAACGACAAAGAATGAAGAAAAATTTATTGACTTAGAATTTAATGAAAGGAGTTGCTGATCAGTTTGCCTGCATTTTTGGTTGGCTTAGAAAATGAGACTCCGAGGAGATGTCCATCATTTATATGGAGTCTGTGGCTCTGACATTTATTTTCCACATTTTTCCCCCCCATCTCAGCATCTTGCCTTTCTCCACTTATCTTTCACACCTTTTCTACGTTTCCACCAGTCCTAACAAAGAAAAGTACAAATTCTGAAGTCTTTGTTTAAAAACAGACACTGTCCAGTCAATGTCAGTTCATGTTTGACAAAGAAAAGCAGCTCCAGTTCAGTCTGTTTTAAACCAAGTACAGTACATGATGACGATGTTGAAGTGAATATCTGAATTTGCAGTTTTCTGCCTCGCCAGTCCTTTATGAGAGGAGATGACAGTGATTCATTTAACACTGTCGCTGTTCCAACTGAGAGATAATTGCTTGAAGTGACAGAGGATTTGACTTTGCTCTTTAGGTGGACAAACTCCGGTCAGAGCTGGAGGGGACGCGGTCTGACAATGTGAACCTCCGTCATGAGAGCCAACTGGTCATGACTAACGTCGACCTTTGGATCAATGAACAAAGGTGAGAACTCACTTCCAATGGAACAGAAGTCAATGAGGAATCATCATCGAGAAACCAGTGGTTGACAAAATATTTTGTGCAGCGCCCCTTTTAGTAGATAAGACTATTGACTAAGACCCCAGATTGATTCATCCATCGAATCACCTCTTATTTGAAACACTCATTCATTGAACAAAGGAAACAAATTACAAATAAAAATAAAGAAAGTTCTATTTATTTGCCTTTGTGCACCCTCCTGGAAAACCTGTGCACCCTATGGGAGACCCACCCCTCACTTTGGGAAGCATCAGGTTAAAAAGTTTTACTGAATAGTTTTTAAGAATTTAATATTAAATGCATTTTTTTCAGGGCGTCCAGCAGAAGCCTCAAAGCCCAGACGGAGGTCCAAAACAACCTGCTGCTTCTCGTCACTAAAGAAAAAGAGTGAGTATTTCCACTTCCACTTTTTCAGTCCACCCTCATGGGTGTACACCTGGTGATTGTAGCACTCGTACGCCCGTGTGTGTCTAATACCGGGACTCTTTGACCTGCCAGTTTTTTTGTGTCACTGTGACTCAAACGCAGAAACCCGTGCACGTACGCACAGTCAAGACAGAGACAGAGGTGTGACATATTTCTCTTCTCAGAGATTAAAGCCGTCTTCTGTTGTTCTGCTCTCCTGCAGTGTCTTAGCCCTGTCCAACAGAAGCACCACTGTCTCTGTCTGACTCCTTTTTACCTTCCTTGTATCTCTCTCATCTGTATGCATTTAATGGGTATATCTTTGACAGAACATGTATCAGTAGTACTACAGAGTACTGAAATACAGTAGTATTAATAAGCTCTCTTTTTTTTTTTTTGCAGAAACAACGAGGTTTTGGACTCTTGATAACTGCGTTTAATATTATCAGTGGCATTATTTTGACCCCATAGTTTGTATTTTTACTTAATCAGCAGGCTATATGTTATGCACTAAGAATGTTAAATTACAGGAAGTTATTAATGAGTGAGGGCAACTATTAAATAATGAAAATAACTTTGAATTAAAAATTAATATATTGGTTGTGTACTGGTCTGAAAAAAATAAAAATTTAACAAATCTTACCTTATTATTTTCCTAAATAATAAAGGGTTATTCCTTGAGAATTTGCTGGCAGAATTCAGGTGTATCAGACGCTTTTTAGTTAAAATAAATGCATAGATGCATAATCAGAGCACAGACACCACTGCAGTTGCCTGCTAGAATATTTGTCTGCCATGTTAACAAGAGTCTCTTGATGATAATAGGTGTCTGTCTCTCCCTGCCTCTCCATGTATATTCCCTGCTCATCTGGGTCTCTGTTTCTGGCTCACTTTGTTAGACATCTTCAGGAGGCTAATGACACCTTGAGGGTTGAGGTAAAGAGGCTGACAGAAGTGGCGGATAAGACAGCAAGAGACTTGGAAGGCTTCAAGGTGAACAAGTGCAGAGTGGAGAAACAATGGAGTGCAAATAAAAAGAGACAAGATGACAAAAAGGGTTTGTTTTCCATTTTATAATTGTTTGCAGGCCCAGATCCGAGACGGGGCTACCGAGCAAGATGAGAGAAGGTTGGTTATCTACATGTCTGTCTAAGTGTGTGTGTGCGCGTGTGTGTGTTAGTGTCAGTATCTGTACATATGCATTTGTGTTCGTCCTCCAGCCGTGGCCCACCATGTTTCCAACTTTCACACACAATCTAGTCTGAACAAAGCTGATGATGATAATAGCAGCAGGAGTGCCAAGTTGTGAATGAAACACCCCTTGGGCTCAGACACTTGTGTACCTCCAAATGTGTGTGTGTGTTTTGTGTCTCTTCTCCCATCTGAATACATTATTCATGCTGTGCCTTTAACAATGATTACACTCCAATCAAGGGCCCATCCTCTTCTACTTGTCAGCCCATGGCTGTCAAATAGCATTCATCAATAGAGAGGAGATATATTTATTATGTTCATTAAGACAATGAAAATGAATGTGGCACGAGCGGGAGAGGGTGCAGGATGGAGGTGAGAAAGGAGGGAGTTGGAGGCTGGTGAGAGACGGCGTCGGTTCGGGGGGCACCTGCTTACAGGAGAACTCCCTGAGATCCCCACTTTGACCCCTCCCCTCCTAAGGTCACCCTCATTAACAGCCCCCCCGCCCCTTTTTCTCCTCCTCACCCCGTGCTTCGCACTCATGTTGCACCTCTCCCCTAACGAAGCAGCAGGCGCTGTTTCCAAAATGGATCAGATTTGTTTTGACTGGAGTAAATTTCCAATGCTATTCAAAGCTGTCAGTCATTTTAATGATATCATTAAGGGGCCACGACAGAAAGATGAATCACTTTTCTTTGTCTTTCCTTCATAATTGCGAATGAGCTCAAGTGTATGCATGTGTGTGTGTGAGAGAGGGAGTGTGAGTGCCTGTGTGTTGGAGAGTGAGACGGGGAGAGAGAGGCAGTTCATATAGATGTAGGTATAAGAGGGCTTTTTTGATTGAGCGAATATAATAACGCAGAATGAGATAAAAACAGTGAATGAAAGCCTGTTCCTCAGCGTCTCCTCATCCATCCCATTTTCCTTATTATGAGAGTTCCTTATTTATTTTATTCCATTATTGTAACCACCACCAACACACACACAGTGATACTTACCTGAAATGCCATATGTATGCATATCATATATCTCCTAAGCAACAGATGTGTCATGATATTCACACGGCAGTGTATAAATCTCATTACTGGTGGCAATGGGGGTATCTGCGCAGTGTCACTATCACCGATGGCAATCGTCATAGCGTGAAGGTTTTGTCATTAGATATGCCTTTATTAAAGGAATTTATTATGATTATATGGCCTGCTGTTCCCAAGCGACGCCCGTGTCAGTGCCTTCACACACAGATGGATCGCTAAGGTTAGCAGAAAAGTGCAATTGTGGGAAAAAAAACATGTTCTAATTGAATGATGTTGCCTGTGTTGGGTTGGATTTGCACTTTGAGGATATTGAAGTAAACAAAGAAATGTTTGAGATTCATGTGATAATAATCTAATGGTTTGTGTGACTATTCATTTTATACATTGGAGGTATTCCATTCGTAACATTTCTTCTGTTTAATTACAATATTACAAAATATATAAAAATGATATTCATCAATGTTTTAATAATTTTTGTTTAATTGAAACTGCCAATTCTTGTCTCTGCTGTGCCAAACCATGTCGGCTTACTCTGGGTTTTATTTATTTATTTATTTTTAAATCACAGTCGTCTTGATCAATGGTATTGAAATGGCAACGAGATAACAAGCAGTCATCCGACAACCTCTGCATTCTTGTAACAAAAGCAGAGAAATGAAATAATCTGATATTACAATTTTCACAGTAATTTTGTTGCGGTAATTATATTCTTGTCTCTAATTAATTGTAAAATGAAGTAGGGAGTGAAAGCAGAGACTAATGCTGTTTGCTTTGGCAGCACTGACTCCCTAAGTGTCTGACACTGCCATCCGGGGGCGAGGGGGAGGTGGCGCTCGGAAAGTGGCATCAAGCTTCATCAGTCGCACCGCTAACTAACCCGGAGATCAGAGCAGACTGTTTGTACAAACACAGATTGCAAAAGTGACAGAGAAACTGAAAAAGGAGATAAGGAGGATACTGTGAGAGGAACATCAAGTCTTGCATAAAATTTACAGCAATGTGAAGGCAGTAAATAAGAAAGATGAGAGCGAGATTGGAGCAAAGAGAGGAGCCGTGTTTATTGCCTAGTTTGGAGAGCATGGCAGCTTGGCTTCGACGCTAATGACTGTAATTATACACACACTGATTGGGTTAGGCCGCTAATTACACACAACCATGTTTGCGTGTAAACACAGGAACACATGTTTACACAGGCTTCGCGCCAAGCACTCAGCGCATCGCTGCCTTCTCACATTGCTTGCATAAATCTCGTACAGTTGTCTCAGTGGCGGTGATGTTTCATGATCTGCTGAAGACCACATTACCACCGAGGAACAAGCTTAAATCATGTAGAGGATGAGTGGAGAAGCGGTGTTGGATTTTATAGAGTTGGCCTGAGCTAAAAGTATTACTTATTTTTTTATTCTCCTACAACAGAACCCCCCCCCTCCCCCCCGTGCTATTAAAAAAATGCATTTGCAATTTAAAACATCAAAAGAAATTCCAGGATTGCATCTTATTAATGTACCTTGTCTCATCATGGTGTGAAATTAGACGTCTGTAAAGGTCAGTTGCAATTATGTTCCGTTTATGGGTGTTATCGTCGGAGAAACGATTTCTTTACTACCTCCACTTGACTGCTGTAAATTAGTTGGTTGGTTAATAGTGAACCATATTAGGATGGTGTTAGCCAATGGTGGCTGCATGTCATACATGTCTCTGCTAACATATTAATCACACCCGACAGTATCCAGTTACGCACTGTATTCCCTAAGTATTTGTCTGTTCCATGAAAGAAAAAGTATGAAACAATCTTCTTCTTACGGTTTACAAACACTTATCTTAACCTGTCAACTATGTCTGTTTAGCCCCTGGTGATTACCTGAAATGCATGCTATTAATATCACAGACTATCAGTGATTGAGACAATACAACAGGCCATGTTACTGAATCAATGAGCTTACTGCGAGACTACGTTCACACTGCAGGTAATAAATTTGTGCTTTTGCCTCGAAAGGGTTTCCGTTGTGGCTCAAGTGCTGGACAGCAGTCTGTGAAGGCCCCGGCTGAGGGGAGACCACAGGCCTACAATTGGTGGCAAAATGATCTAATGGCCTGCCATTGCCTCTATGAAGGCAAGGTGTGATGTCACATCTTCTTATGTAGAGAGCTATATACTGTTTACACACATTTTTGGGAATGTTATGGACTGTCCTGATCATACAGTAGCAGCCTTTCAACCAGTGTCAGCAGCACTTCACCATAACACTGGAAAGAATGAAGTGACTGAAGACAGTGTGTGGTGTCATTTTAGATTTAGTATAGCCAGGCTTCTAAAAGGGTTTCTAATTGGACTAATTAAAGTATGTGTACGCTTCACGTCTTAGCCACTCTTGACAGAGACACATTTCTGTAGTGCTGCGGCGAAGCTACGCGTCGTCTCAACTGAAGCAAAACTGAAGCGACTCTCTTCTCTCCGTTAGCTTGATAGAAAACCACCGGTGGCTTTTTCAGAAGAAAATTTACGCCAGAGAGGTACAGTGGTTCTTTAATGAACTAAGAAGTCTTTAACAAAGTATTTAGAAGGTTTCCTCCGAATGCTAACTGGACAGGTTCACTGGGGCATGACAACACGAGCATAAAGCGAGGGGCCGCCACTGCTACAGCCAGTACAGAGCGCCATTATCCATCGTCGTTAATTTAATAGACATTCTTTAGTCAGACGCGGGGCTGAAGATAGGAGACCAAGCATTTGTTTGTCATTTCCCAAACCTTTTTAATAAACAGTTAAAATCTTAAATGGCTTCTTGTACTCTTAATGTTCCCCGGCTGCTGCTGCCTTTGTTTTCTTCTGTGTATATATATGTTTATTATTTCACTTTTCTATGGTCTTTCATGTATAATTTAATGATTCCTGGGACCCATTTGCTCGCCCATCTTTGAGTTTAGTAATAAGTTAATATGCAGATGGTTGTAATGAAGATGATGTACGCCAAGCTCTCTCCGCCTCAGGTTTCTGTGGATGTCTGACTGCAACTGCTTGGTTTTACTAGAAAAATGTAAAAAAAAAAACTGTAGAAGAAATACTGTAGTTTAAAAGTTTGCTGCATGGTCGTGGCAGTGGGGATACACTTTTTATGGAAAACTACAAATGAGCCAGGTTTTATTGTTCTGCTTTTTTCACAGCGCCTCAAGTAAAAATGTCAAAGATACCTCCCCTCTGATATATGTTTATGTGAACGCATGTGAATATTGTGTTACAGCATGAAGAATCAGACCTGTATGGCTCGAAACCTTGGCAAAATCGAGAAAATGCAGACCAGACTGCGCTGCAACCTGGAGGCCATATCAATGCTAAATCAACAAGTAAGACACACACACACACACATGTCTGACTGTCCTTTTACCCGACAGTAACGCACACCTGCACACTGGCCCACATGCTGTTGAGCTTGCACAGAGGAGGAAGCTTTTATGTGTCCAACTTCAAACACATGCATGCACTCGCACACAGGCGCACGGAGACATCCATTTCCTCTTCCTACGATAAAAGTGAAAGTTGAAATTGGGGGGGTGGATGGTGTACTGTGTGGGGAGAGGGAGTGGGGGGGGCGCAAATTGTATCAGGAGAAAGCAGTGACGTTCCCTTTCGCTGGTAAATGATTTGCCTTTCATGGAGCTGGGAGAGGGATGTATATCAATACAGACGCACTGATCTCTCCGTGACAGCATAAGGAAACGGCCCGCTGTGATAAAACAATGTGGGGGGAAAAAACACAGAGGAATTATTCACAGGAAACACTGACGTTTTTTTAAGACTACGTTGAACTTCATACGAGTCAACAAATCACCAAAGGAGAGTGGAATCAAACGTGCTCCTCATCCCCCACAGTTCTCTAACACTGAAAGGCCTGGGGAACCGCTCACCTGACTTCTCCAAGACTGATTGACGGTGTGTGAGCCAAGCTGATATTTGATCAAGTTTTAATGTAGCGTCTCTTTGTGGAGAGCAAATGTTGTTAGCTGCACGTTCGAGACACAGGATGGCGGAGAAAAGGAAGGGAGCAGACGGAGACAAGAAAAGAGTGAGGCGTTGTTTAACAGCTCAGGTGTGTAATAGCACCCTTTAATCTCTAGTGGGAATCATTACACACTTTCTTCCCACATGAACAGTCCAAACACTCACACTAACAAACAACTGAGCGGACCTAGACGGGAAACTATAAACAGCCAACTTTCATAAGGTTTTATCATTCACCGTCCAGTGGACACCAACATTCGTCTTCAGTCCTGCTCCCTCAGATATCAGCAGAGGAGCTGAATGGACTGTCTGACTGAGGTTTTTGAAGGACACATAAATCAGTGTCTGTCTCTCTGCTGTAGTCAGGTCTCTGCACTCATTGTTGAACTGATCTCTGCAAACTTTCTCTTTCCAAATGATTTTTTTTTCTGTTTTTTTACATTTCCTTTCTATATCTACACTGTCCTCTTAGACAAACAGTCCACATGTTATGGATGAAGGAAACAAACAGGTATTTAAAAAAATGCTTTTGTCATTTGCACAAAAGCACTGAAGTTGTAGGATGTTTGTCGCAGATATTTAATATTTTAAAGCTTTAAACTTTATCACTGGACATTTTTTTTTACACGTCACTGCCTTTGTGAGGGTTCAACCTCACATCTTTTTTGTGGACATCACACGTTGTGAGTCTGCGGGTGTAGATTTGTGTGTCCATTGTGTCTGTGAGTGTAATAGTTAGCAGAAACATGTCAGTCAAACACACAGACACTCCTAAACAGATGTAAATGAGTGCTACTGCCATTACCTGACATGTCTTTTTATCCTCCGTGTCTTATTTTCTTCTTTCCCAATAACTTCAAATACATTTAAAATACATCCTCCCAGATCGCTTAATCTCCGTTGTCACGTTATTACACATTTTAGACTGGCATATTTTTGCATGCAATTACCATGGGTTTTAACAAACACAATTTTATTTTTAAAGCCACTTTTTACACTCCCTCCTGTTCCTGTCTTTAAGAAGCAGTCTTCCCCAAAAGATAAAATGCCCTCAATTTAGCTAGCCTGTAATTGTGTTTGAGGGGGCGCCAAATCATGTCCTGATGTCGTGCGATTTGTTTTGTGTCACGGATGATTTTGTGTCAAATAGAACTCTAATGATCGCCCAAATTGGTTGTTTTCATGTTGAAAATTTCCACCGTTGCATGACTCCCACTCACGACCATTTCCAACTGTGAACTCAATATACTCCTGAATCAAACCCCCCACTTTTCTGCCCCCCAACAAACTCGCAATTTCCCATTTGCATTTCTGTTTCAACAGGCATGAAAGCAACTGTGAAAGATGAATTAAGCCCATAATGGGATGTCAGCTACTTCATCAACATGATAGCGGTTGACTTTTGATGGTTAATATTTGTTGTTGACATCAAATTAAGTTTAGCAGTTTCAGAGCTTTAACTGAACAAGTGTAATGTTTTGACTTCCCTGATCGTCTCCCCTCACCTCTGCCGTCCTTCTCCTATTCTTTAGAATATTTTCATTATTAGTCCTCATTATGCACCGTGTCCACATGTCTTAATGTCTCCCTCTTGTTTCTCTCCAGTTAAACACTCTCAGCGGGGAGAATAAGCACTTACGCAGGCAGCTGGAGGAGGAGAGGTCCATGCGTAGACGAGTGGAGCAACGACTGCCTGCTGCTCCTCCCAACCTTCTGCACAGCTCCTCCATACGTCCCCCCCTCTGTGCCGCTGCTCCACTCTCCACCTCCCTCCCTTCATCCCACCAACCTAATCCCCTGGGTTCAGACCCAGCAACGGGCCACATTGATGGGATTCTCCAGGAAACCAAGCTGAGTAGAGCTGTATTAGAGAAACCAGGTGAGTTCCAGGTTTTGTCTAAAGCCCTCTGGATGAAACCAGCTGCAGTGAGCACTGTCTCCGCCTCTGTGGGAGATGTATGGTCTGGGAGGACAAGCTGGGATCTGACCAAATGAAGCCCCCCGAAGACTTTGACCTGTCATGACTTTTTGACCTCTACCTCCCCACCGGGGAGTGTATTCAGCATGAGGTTAATGTCCTGCAGGTCAAAGTCAAGTCCCTGGATTATTTTTTTGCCTGAGGGTGGAGTTGGGAGGGGGTCTAGAGAGCCAGCAGATGATGGAATTTGCAGTAAATAGTCAAAATGTAGGTCGAAAAAAACCCCAGATCACCATCAGAATATTTTATCTAAGAAAACCTTGTCAAACACTGCATCACATCATTTTACCCACTGATCATCAGAACAATTCAAAAAGTGGCATTGTCCTTTTAAAACAATGATCTTCTTTGCCAGAAAATAAAATTAAGCACTGAGATCTTTTTTAATGGCTGCACTTATGTAAAAACTCTCATTGAATTTAATACAGTCAGCAAATGAACCAAATGACAAAAAGCACTAATTCCCCTCCCGATGAATACGTTGCTTTGGATGCCAGAGAGTCAAGGCATCATCAATATCCAGAGGGGAACCTGTTGGGAGCGACTGTACTGTAACTCGGTGTGATTGCAGCGTAGCTGTGTGCCATGTGTCGCTGCGTCTTTGTCTGTGTGTGCTTCTGTGACGGAGTAGTTTAGATGTTTAACATTGAAGGCGCTTTAAGTTTTGATTTATTGTGGAGACAAAAAAAAAACCCACTTTGTTGACTTTTTTCCACTCATCTGTTGCTGTGTTGTATTGATGGACAATAAAAACAGATACATCTGTACCTAAGTGGTCACAGATGCAGCAGTCAGTATTTATAGTTATCTGACTCCCAGTTAAGCCAACCTGTGTTGCATAATCCCAACATACACAAACATATATCAACAGCGTTTGGCTGCATCACTATTAAACAATCAACACTGTAGTTTTCTTTTCCAAAATCACACAAACATACGGTGACTATTCAATGTCTTTCTTTGTTTTTCTTCAGGTGAGACACAACACTTTTTAGGGATGTTTTCTTTTACCCAAACAAAGAATACTGAGAGAAGTATGCAAATATGTGTCTGTTATACCGCGATAATGAGAATTCGGGGCGAAAAGGTCTCAAACCACAATTGGCTCTGTTTTTCTATCTGTTCTCTCCCACCTGTCCCCCACTCGCTCCCAAAACCTTTTTTTCCCCTCATCGTTCATTGGTTTTGTATAAACATAGCCTGTTAAACTTAACTAAACTATAAACTATAGCTGTTTAGGATGTCATACATTTTAATGATTTCCCACAGAGCTGCGTGTCCTTGTTAGCTTGGTTTTCCTCATCTGCCATGTCACACTCAAAAATACCCTTCTTTTATGTGCAAACACTCATGCGTGCACCCTCTTGCACATCCACACGCACTTATATTCTTTTGCAAACACACACACTCTCGCACTTACACAAACGGCGCAGTCATTAAAAATAAAACCACAGGCTTTTTTTTTTTTTTAAACTCCCAAGACTGAAGGAAAAGTCAGCAGCACAGCGGTGAAATAAGTCCCCCTGGAAACAATGAGGAGAATGATCATTTGTTGTTCTTGAAAACCCAGTGAGGTTTCACAGAGGTTAAGCTTCTCTTTGATGTGTTTTTAACTCATTTCAGCTCTGTAGAGGGATTAGTCAGCCTCACACACACACACACACAAACACACAAACACACATGCACACATTCACACTCACAAAAACACATAGCGGCACTTAATTTCCACACCACGTTTTCTTACAGACAGAAAGCACAGAAAAGGCTTCTTCCTAACCTAATTTCATCAAATGAGCGTGTGGTACTTCACTGCTGTACGTGTGGTCCCCTGGAAATGTGTGGTAAACCAGCGAAATTTTGCAAGTCAGTATTTTCTTTTTATCCTAAATTAGCATCTGGCTGTTTTTGAACAGTGTGGGCCCTCAACCACGAGAGACGCTGAGAAAGAGACGGAGAATAGCTGTTGACCATCATGGCGCTCATTACAGTGTTTACAAGGCATTATTCCATCCTTATTTTAGGATACAAATGACTGGAGTGCTTGTGCACTTGGGTGTGTGTGTGTGTGTTATCAGCTCCAGTCTGGGTGTCTCTGTGTGGTTGCCCATGCTAATAATCAACAAAAAAGCTCGACTGTTGTTTGACTCTATGATCTCTGGCAAAACAGTAATTTGTTATTTACGCTTTGTCTGTTTTATTTTTAAATATACCTTGGAAAAAAAAATTCGAACTCATAAGTTAACCCTGGTTGGCTCTCATTGGTCACAGGTGGTGGTGCTGCCGTTTGCTTTCATTTTCTCTAATTCTATTCTATATATAAGTTCCAAGTTGCTTCTTGACAGCCATACCAGTTGAAAAACTACCAAGTTGGCATTGTTACAGAGTCTGTCAGCTGCTGTTGGATTCTGAATGCAAGTTGGAAAGATTAGCAGTAATAGCTTAGCATAGCTAAAGCTAAAGAAACTTCTTCATTTAATATATATGTCTTGCCCTGTTTGTGTGGCTAAAGTTTACTTGTAATGTAAAGGTATTTAATTGGAATAAATAAATAAATATATTTTATTTTTATTATTCACTATGAAAAATATAGATTGACATATCTATGAAATCAACTAAGGTTGAGTAGTTTATGATGTAGTGTGTAAAATATGTATTTGCATACATATTTTATACACATATTTTCATGCATATAAAGTTATTTAATCAGTACTTCCTCTGCATACAGTCCAGTATCATATACATGGGCTCTCCACACCTGTGACAGCCTACACGTCTGACACCTGAAAAAGGCCTTGTGTCGTGTGGAAAATGTTTCTGTTCCTGAACAGCAGAGGATTGTGCCAACGTTGAAATAAAATAACTTTTAGTGGAAGAGACAGTTCTGTCACACCGCACAGAAAATGACAGAGCAGCAAGGGAGGGTGAGAAAGAAACAAAACTGACAGGAGTGCTGGAAACGTGTCTGCTCCTAAAGTTAGGTCAGTCAAGATGGCAGAAGAGAAGACAGTCATTCACAGTGTTCTCTTTTTTTAGAGCTGGGTTTTTGTTATTTAGTATCTTTTTATAGGCTGTGCAGCCACCGTACAGCAAAATACTGCGGTTTTGATGGTGTGGTTGAGTTTTAGCCGTAGCATGGTTTCATTTTTACAACTTATATTCAGATGCACAGTTGTAAACACAGTAATGTATATTTGTGCCAGATTTTTATGGCTTCACTAATTCATGGAACTTTAAATGCTACACAACAAAATAACTTCAACTGTTACGTTTTACGCCCAAATATCGAGGTACTTGAAACAGAAAGTAACATTTGGTATATTGTTCTATCTCATTGCACCTTTTAATGAGAGTTTTGGCCATCAGGCCAACGTCTCAAAGAAGTTGCTGCGTTCCCTTAAGAGCTAAAGAGAATTGTGGGAAATAGTACAATAGTAGAAAGTAGGAAAACCCACAGGGAATAAGAGATTACAAGACAATTTCAGGGA